CTCTCTTCAATGACCTTAACAATTACACCTCTCTCTCTTCAATGACCTTAACAATTACACCACTCTCTTCAATGACCTTAACAATTACACTACTCTCTTCAATGACCTTATTACATATGTAATCAAATGGAACTTGATGTTCGTGTATCTTATCAATAAACTTATTAATACTGTGAAAATTTACAAATCCTGTTCACACGTAATCTGTAACTAAGCAACAGTAAAATAATATTAATGTGATATATAGTTCCCTAAACTTGGTGTTTTTACTTTAAAATAAGTGTATAGTGTACGCACGCTTACACCACCCAAGACTTATAATTGTGTTTAAAACAATACTTGCCAGGTAGTTTTAATAGTTTTTAGAGTTATAAATCAGTATGGCAAGGAGTAAAGTAAAAACAATATTTATCAGGTAGTTTGATAGTTTTAGAGTAATCAATCAGTATGACAAAGAGTAAACTAAAAGCAATAGTCATCAGGTAATTTTACAATATTATTAGAGCAATCGATCAGTCGGCATTTAAAGAATTAAGCTTATTCCTAAATAAGGTTAGAGATAACTGTTGTATCTTCTTGATTATCCACTGACGAAGACCGAGGGGTTACATAGTTATCACAATATTTACACACACACCCTCGATTCCCGTTTCGTTAGTTTATGAATCCACTTTAATTTGTGGCAAAATGCCATGAAGAGGATATTAGCATAGATGTTTGCATTCTTAACCCTCACTTGGGATTTGTAGCACTTCCTCTCGCACCTCGACTTTTAATGGAAAAGGCGCCACATCTGGTGTGTTTTAAGAGATTGCATTGTATAAGGATGAGATAATAAAATGTAGTCTACGTTCTTTTATCTAAGTGACAAAATAAAAGGAATTTTCCACTTCTTATAAACCAGTTTCAACAGAACAGGGAAAAGATAGTCTAAAAGCAGGCTGGTGGGTAAGCGTAGCTTAAAACAAATATCTGCTACAGCATCTGAGGTGTAATAGGCATACTATAATTACGTTCATAGAGAAATATTTACATAAACATTACTATGCTCGTCTGAAGTCGATTACAGAAAAAAAAATGAGAATTAGTTTCATTCTTAACGTTACTTACGTGTATGTCTAGAGTTACCTGGTTTTAGGAGATACGAATATAATAATCACGTGCTTATAAACGAACAAAAAGTGATGAGATTCTATAAGGAAAATATTGGATAATTTCCAGTAATAGCTTTTTCATAAAATAACACTTGGTAAGTATTACATAATCACAAAAACGTTATCAGGATTTCTTGAAAATCAAAAACAAACCCTTTTTTTCTCTGTTGGATTTTTAGACAAAATGTATTTCTAGCAGGTTTTTTTTTTTGTTCCGGAATGAATTATGAAGTTTTAATTGGTACGCCACTGAGCTTCGTAAGAGAAATTATTTAAAATAAAAACTACAGAAATCCGTTTAGAAATTAGCATCTTGTCAATAAATCATCCATGTTAAATCGGAGCCAATCCTCATGTTGAAAAATACAAACATTCTATATATACTATAAATTTTACACTTTTATAAAGTTAAATATAAATACTAAAATCTCTTAAAAAATAAATCGCTGCTAATCTCGTACACCAATGCTCTTTAATCTTATAACTATAATAAGTTATGGTACATGACTTCTCGGAATTAATTTTGATATGGGAAGAAAATATATGATAAATAAGAACCGCATCGTTTAAAAATGCACAATAATTTATCCTATAAAGTTAAAAGAAAAATATACAATTAAAAACTATATACAATTTAAATTGGGTTTTAATTGCATAGAGTTTTTAATTGTATATTTTGTTGTTAAACTTTATACAATAAATTATTGCTCATTTTTAAACGTTGGAGTTATTAATGATGGCTGGAGACGGCTTGAATGGGTAATGAAGAAAAACTTTAATATAAGTTTAACATAACAGCAAATGTACAACCTTTCGACAAGGTTTTGTCAACTTTTAAACAAAGGCCTCAACTTTGACATCAACCACAAAACAACTCCATGCCTAGAGTTCAAGGCATGTCTAGAAGATCTAGCCAGAAGACTA